GGTCCGATCGCAGGGCGAACCTTCCAGTCCACCCGCCCCTTCGAAGGGCTCGTGTCGAGCTCGAAGAACTCGTCCGAGACTTCCAACCACTGCTTGTCCTGAAGTTCTTGAAACAGAAGTTCAGAAGTGGAATCGACGGCCGGGTCGCCAGGTTGAAATTCGGGATTCGCGGACCTCACTTTGTCGAGCACGGAAATCCTCGCGAGTTCTAGGTACTCCGCCTTCGACAGCCGTGGGTATGGCTGCCACAACCCTTGGTCGTCGTTGAGCGCCATGATCCACTCGCCCTTCTGGATTGCTGGCTGGATTGTTCCCGGGTGCCATATCATGTCATGGCCCCAGTCCGCCTCGCTCGATCGAGTGTGGTCGAGCCCTTCGAAGTGAAGGGCATCATCCTTGCGAGAAGGATGATGCAGCGGAACCGAACTCCCGGGACGCAATGGAGGCGGGGTGGCAGGCCAAGGCGTCTGTCTGGCCGCCAGCTTACTCGGGGTCTTACCCGGGGTGTACTTCAGGACAGGCGACGCCTGGGTGGCCTGACCTGTTGAGGGACCTGCCGACGAGGAGCCAGGGGCATCAAACACCGGAGCAGGATGGTAATCGATGTCGATGTCCTCGTTGTCGCTGTCCTCCTCCGGTGTAGCGGTGTAGAAAACAACGCCTGTCTCCGCCTCATCGTCCGTGGAGATCAAGGCACCATAACTCTCAAGCTTCAGCACCTGCTCGGACTCGACGAAGTACAAACACTCAAGCCGTTCGAGGAAGTTCTTTGCATTCTTGCGTGAGGCATCGTGGTAGTTGTCTAGCACTGCCAACATGTGTTCCTTGCGGCGCATGTACTCGGCGTCATTGTCCCTCCTAGGCCGCGTTTCCAAAAAGAGGAACTCGTAGATCCTGTTCCTCTTCCGGTCGCTCAACTTGAACCACATGTTCGTGGACGGTTCCCAAAAACGTGTTGATTTCTCGGTCCTCGTGACGAACTCGCAGCGGCTGGCTCTAGAGTTGACCTCGCTTTTGAGGAACTCCAACGAGTATTGCAACAACTCAGAATTCCCTTCCAGTGCGACCACGTGTCGGCCACTCTTCAAAACCTCCCACACCACTCGCGCGTGCGGCTTGCCGAGGAACATGACGCCCTCCCCCTTTTTGCACAGAAATTCCAGAAGATGGGCCAATTGTGCAGGGTTCTGCTCCATGTCCTTGTAGACCTTCCTGTCAACTCCAAGCATGGCCGACGTCCACTCACAAGGGTCGAAGGGGGTCTCCGATATGTCTGTCGGGGTCACTTTCTGATGCACCCCGACAGCCGCAGCGTCACCTGCCGACAACCTAGCATCGTAGATGACACATGTATTCTCCCGCAAGTCGTCACCTTTACAGAGAATGTACATGCGGTCGTCAGCCGAGTACAAGTTGTTCCCCACTGCGAAACTTTTCTTCTGCTGCGTCCTCCTGACCCACTTCCCTGCCATTGCCTTCACAACGACCAGATGTCGCATTCTGGTCATGAAGGAGTAGTCCCACTGACGAGGGACAAAAGCGACGACCGTCCAGTGTGACGGAAACAATTGCTCCAAGAGGGAATTCAAACTCTCGAATGCTTTCGGGGTCCACAGTTCGAAGTCCACCGGCTCGCACAGATCAAGAACGCACGTGTGGCATTTGGTGGTCCCGACCGCTTTCTCCAACTCCGCGACCCTCAACTGCGCCTCCAATGGGTCAACGCCGAACGGGGCAATTGATGTCACCTCCCCGGTGTCTTTCCACAGAACGTGCACCACGCCTTCGGCAAGCGCCACCTCCATGCTCTTTGCCCTACTGCCCGTCAACACTGAGAGGACCTTGTTCTTCCAGTCGGTGGACAACTTCTTGTTTTGGGCGAGTTTCTCCGTCGCCTTGATTGTTTTCTCGTCCTCGCACCCCATGTATGGCGGGCAGTCCTTGTACACCGGGGCGTCAACGACGAGCTTCCTGCTCCCGTCCCGCAACGAGGCATCCATTCCCTGCTTTTCGAACTCCATCAAAATAAACTCCTTGCGGGAGGCATCTGTTGCAGCCTCCAATTCGGCTGCCTCCTGTCTCTCAACTTCTGCGAGCAGCGCCTGTCGCTCTCGCAGTTTGGCCTCAATCTCTCTCTTGCGCCGCTGAGCAGGGGTGAGAGGAGGAGGGGTAGGAGTTCAGGGGGAAGATTTCTCTTCCTCCTTGACTACTACTTCCACCTTTCCCTCACCTGAGTCAGCCGCGTTAGACATCTTCCCTTTCAGAAACAATAAACAACAAGGTTAGACATGCAAGAGATGCAGCAAATCGCAGTCAAAGCACAACGCAGGCGAAAAAAAGAGGAGGCACACCTTGCCCTCAACACTTCGGTCACATGACGCTAACCGAGGACCTCGAAGTTCGGATCCCGGCGAACTTCTAACGCGAAGACCACCAATGACCTCTTACCTGCAACGAGATCATTCTTTACAAGGGCACACGCTTCATGCAGCCGGGCGACAACCACGTCGGTTTTTTCGGGAACACGGATGTCCACCGCATCGGGAATGGACGAATGGTGACGCACAAAGCCCGCGTTGGACAGGGCAGTGTCCTCCGTTTAGCAATAGGAACCCGGACAGTTCAGGATGCGAAGTTCACCGGGATCCGTACTAAAAGTGCCTGTCCGAAGCCAAATCAACGCACCCACCGAAACGTGAAGTTCGCCAGGATCCGAACTTCAGAAAAATGCGACAGGCAGATACGGCGTCAGGCAAACATAGATTGGACCGAACCACGACCCGGAAAGGCCGCACTAACACAAAAGGCCGCTTGAGAAGGACAAGTTCGCCGAAATCCGAACTTCTTCTGATATGCGCTGCTTGGCATTGGATGAAGCCGAATTCAAACGAGCAGTCACGACAACATTGTATGAGTCCCTGGAGTAGCAGTTGTGGATCAGGGTTTGACTCGTGTCGCAATCCACGGGGGATCATCAAGCCGAGCGCCCGTTCAATACACAGGCGTCACAGGAAGTTCGTCGGGATCCGAACTTCAAGAGGCTGCGAGAGAGACAGACAAAAAGTTGGTGTCCTAGCAAGGTGTCCTAGCACGATGCCAACGGGATTTCCAACAAGAGGGCCCGCCAGCCGGGATCTCCAACGGGTTTCAGGAAACGCGAAGCTCGTGCGACCTTGCTACGTGGATCTCTAAGAGTGCTTTTGGCATCTCGCTACGACAGTTACTGACTGTTTGGGACATGTTGATGGTGGACGGGCGAAAACCGGTTACGGGCAGATCCTTCCGCGGTGTCGGGTCTTTTCCGCGGCCCGCCCGACGCCAATGACAACAGAGACAAATCAGTGGACAGGCCAGAACGCGAAGTTCGCCGAGATCCGAACTTCGCCGGGGCATGACATGGCAGGAGACGGCGCCAAAGACGGACGTCCAACATGACTTTCGTCATGTCACTGAACCGAACGACGACCAGGGATTTGCAGGACAAGCGCGTGGTGCAGCATGTACCAGCAACCGCGGAGTCTCACAGTTCTTTGCAGTCCTACAAATCTGACATTTCAGGCAGCACAACCGCATCTCATCCCTCGCCGTTCTTTCCCTCAAACAGAAGGACTAAAGACCGGTTCGGATGCGGCGACATTTGGGGATCCCCCAGGACGATGTCGTGAACCGAAGCCAAACAAAGCATTCAGTGACGATCCGTATACGCGGGTCTGCGGTTCGTCGACTGATGCACTCTCCGAAAAAACGGACATGTATTTCATCCTAACAAACACCCCCAGTCGTGCCAAGGAGTTTCCTATGCAGTCCCGAATATTAGCCGCTTTCTCCTCAACCTCACGAAACAACGAATAGTTTCGAACCTGACCTGCTATCACCAAATCTGGCCACCCATCCACACGTTCAGGCCCCCGCATCGGCACGAATTTGGACCCTTCAATCACAACCTCGTTGCGTGACACGAGCACAACTGCGTCGACGAGTTTCCTGCTCTTGTTCGAAGCAGCGACACACAGAACTCTGGCGAAATCAGATCCGGATACAGTCAACCGCACACAGCAGTACGACACTGCTCGTGGAGAAATCCCGGGGGCACGGAGCAGGTACTGGTCCAGGAATGAGCAGCGACGAGCGCAGTCCACCAACTCTTGTTTCCGCGAGCCACCCCAAGTTCGTGGCGATGACCTGACGTTGTGGCAGTCGAGGCAACTGAAATAGCGGCTTATGCAGCTTAGTGCTTTCCGCATATGGTTCAGGAACTTATGTCCGAGGACGGCGTCAGGCAGTGGGATGAGGTCCCCGAACTCCAACATATTCGCGAACTTGTACTGGCTTGCCCAAGGGCAGTGACTCTCCATACTGGCCCAATTGCCCTCGCTCCAGTCGTCAAGATGTGCGTCCCTGCACGGAACGACGGTCATCCATGGGTCCTCGTCGAAGTCCTCTGTGGTCGCTCCATGGATCGTCGTCAAACCGTTGAAATGCCGCTCGGATTTCGCACAAGGACGAAAAGGTTCTGCTAAGCGAATGTGCGTCTCAGCACTCATGGCCTGTGGTCTCGAGAAGATCGACTCGAAGATGCGTGGTGTCGAGAAGGTCCCCTCCATCATGCAACCTGCACACCACGCGCACATGCCTGACGACACACACGGGCACGGAGACACTCGTAAACACGTCATGTCTCGGGATGTGCGACCCATGGCATTAGACGCAGTGTATGCCCCAAGATCCGATTTCGGGTGGCCGGCTTCGTCGGTGTTCATATCTACCGGCCCGCGGGCCAGCCGCAAACACGCCCTGCGACATGTTCGCCTGGATCCGAACTTGGCGAGACTGCGCGGGAAAGACGAAGCTGTCTCCAAAACCCGACGTCCAAAACTGCCAAGAAGTTCGGATCCAGGCGGACTTCAGTTTCGTACAAATAAAAAGTTGTGGCAATCCACCGGTCGTCGGGAAGTCCACAGTCAGAACCCGCACCACCCGAAAGGTGAAGCACGCCGGGGTCCGAACTCGACGGTTTTCCGACGAAGCGTGCACGGGAAGTTCGGATCTCAGCGGACTTTGCATTTTATAGAATCCGCAGTCCGCCGTGATCCGAAATTGACGATTGTCTGAGGAACCGTGCACGGCAGGTTCTGATCCACGGCCCAGTAGGAACATCTCCTGCCACATGCATTGCAAAAGGAAGACAACTCAAATTCGCCGGGATCCGAACTTGGCAAATTCGTCGGGATCTGAACTTGCGAAAGGAACATCTCCTGCCACATGCATTGCGAAAGGAAGACAACAGGTTCGGATCCACGGCCCAGCAGGCGAACCCGACGATGGGACGAGGAACCTTTGCACGAGAAGTACGGATCCCGACGAACTTCGCACTTTTGTGAAACAAAAGTTGTGGCAAACACCCGTTCGCGAGAAAGGACACAGTCAGTACCCACACCATGTGCGACGCGAAGTTCGTCGGGGTTCGAACTTGCCACGCGAGGTCCGGATCCACGGGAGGGTGTTCGCCGGGAACCAAACTTCTCGAGACCGCGTGGGAGAGAATCAACTGGCGGGCTATACATTTTTTCAAATACAAAGTTGTGCCAAACCCCGGGAGCTAGAAACCCGCGTTCTGAACCCGCACATTGAGACAAGCGAAGTCGCCGGGGTGCGAACTTGACGTCTGTGCGAGGAATCGTGCAGTAGAAGTCCGGATCCCGGTGGACTTCGCATTATCACGGATACGAGGTTCGTCGAGATCAGGACTCGACGAGTGTGCAAGGAATAGTGTGAGTGAGGTTTGGATCCGCAGGCCAGCAGGAACCTGTAGTTGGCCGGGATCCGAACTTGGCGAAATTAAGTGGGAGATACACACCTGTCTGCCAAACTCGCCGTCGTGCAATTTTTTGAAGTTCGGATCCCGGCGGACTTCATATTTTTCCACGTCCCAGGCTGTGGTTGCGGACCGGGGTTGCGAAGCGTGTTCGAGCAGCTGCATGAAGTTCGCCGGGATCTGGACTTGGCGAAATTGCGTGGGAGACATACACCTGTCTACCGAACTCGCCGTCCAGCAATTTCTTCAAGTTCGGATCCCGGCGGACTTCCAATTTTTACACGTCCCAGGCTGTGGTTGGGGACCGGGGTTGCGAAGCGTGTTCGAACAGCTGCATGAAGTTCGCCGGGATCCGAACTTGGCGAAATTGCGTGGGAGATGCACACGTGTCTGACAAACTCGCCTTCCAGCAATTTCTTGAAGTTCGGATCCCGGCGGACTTCTAATTTTCCACGTCCCTGGCTGTGGTTGCGCACCGGGGTTGAGAAGCGTGTTCAAACAGATGCACAAGCTCGTCAGGATCAGAACTTCTTCCGGTGTTTGATTGCGCGATCAGTTCGGTTGGAACGGCCACGTTCCGATCACGAGAACAGTGCGGCGACGCGTGGGGTGATGGGTGCTCAACGTTCGCCATTCAGTGACTGTCAAGTGTCGACTACCCTACGTCCTCCAAAGTTCGACGTCCGACGAGGTCCGACGCCCGCCGAGGTTTGATGTGGAGCCAGGTTCCATGGGCAGCATGGTTCGATGTTGTACAAGGTTCGATGTGCAACAAGATTGTGACGAAGTGCTTTTTATTCGTTCGAAGATCGGGATCGACGTTTTTTCGATCGGTTGTGCGTTTCGTTCGCCGGTTTCGATCGTGCACATGATCATATGCCTTGAGGATTCTCCGCGATCGTTCTCCACAATCAATTACCACAGAACAGTCGATTGAGTGACCGGCTGCTCGGTTGGCGGTTGGTGTGGTGGTTGATCAACCAGAAGAGCAATCGCCAACCGAGCTGTCGACCAATCAGTTGATCCTGGCAGATTTCCTGACCGATCGACGGTTCGGTCGAGGACTGTCATGTGGGTAAATAAACAGGTCGCTCGCCGGCGGGTTGATCTTCGGTGCAGCACACACGATCAATCATCCGATCACAAGTAATCTTCTGTCGTTTCGTAATTGGTCGGTTGGATGCGTTGTCGCCTCGTGCAGTGGTTAATCATCCGTCGGGCAGATCAGCGGCGCTGTTGTTGGGGAAGCAAACAACATCTATCACCCGATCGCGAGTGGTCGGCTTGTGTTTCGTGATGGGTCGGTTCATCACGCGTGTGGTGTGCATATTGTCATGGATCTGATCGACCATCAGATCACGAGTGATCTGAACACACACGATAGAAAGAACAACACACACGCGGTGGTAACGTCGACACAGCAGACACGACCAATCATCCGAGTGATCTCATCGTGTTTCACGATTGCTCGATGCATGCGTTCGCTGTGTCGACATTGCCACCGCATGTTTCGATTGATCATCCATTGGGCATATCAACGGACATCACACAAAACCGAGCTTCGCTGTGATGATACTCTCCTCACACATCCTCACACATCCACACACAAGCGGAATTGAAGGGCTCACCATGACGTTCATCCCTGACCGCGCACGTTCGCGCGCATCTCCTCGCGGAAAACGTGCGCGAACACACACGCACGTGAACACATATGCACAGACAGACACACACACGCACACACACACACACACACACACACACACACACGCGCGCCGACACGTCGCGCCCACACACACACGCCCCTCAGGTACAGACGCGCGCACAATCCTGCCTCACGCGTGTGACACACACTTCAATACAAACACAAACGCAAAGGAACACGCACTCGAACACACACACACACACAATGAACCATGCACAAACACACAATCACACACAAACACACACACACACACACACACACACGCACACATGTAGCCACGAAATCCTTCGATCTGCGCGAGCATATCGTCACAAAAAACCTCCTCCGCACGCGCGCACATGCAAACACACATCCCGACTGCATGCGCACTCACCGTGTGGAACTGCCGAGTGAAGATGAGCGCGAACCCCAGCGATTGTCGTGAAGGCACTCTGTCCACCTTTGGGCGTGCACTTCGCGTTTGTTGGGGTGCTGCGTGGGGTGGCGGTCGCGCCTTCCGAGAAAGGAGATCAGAAGCGACGTCGAATATGACATGGACAGCGACTTGGTAGGCGGAGGGACATGCAAGGGCATGTGGGGTGCATCGGTGCCACGAAACTTGCGTGTCGAAGAATGGTCGTGCCAGCTATGGCGCGCCAGCTGTTGACGATTGTGGCGGTGCGTGGCTTCCATCGGGCAGCATCTCCCCAGCAAAAAAAGCAAAATGCATCGTCAATGCCCAGGGCGCCGCTCGTATTTGTAGGCGCGCCGGACACGAGGCCCCCTCGGGCCTTCCGTTTCGGATTTCCGTGCAGGGTCCGTGCGCCGACTCGCGGCTGTTCGATCCGCGCATCGAACGGTGGCTGCACGTCGAAATTGTCGCGAGGGGGGCCTGGTGCGTCGAAATGTGACAAAAAACGTCCCTACGGGCTGGCCCTTCCTGGACGTCATTGCAAAACGGGCCCTTGTTCCGGGCCCCTTGCGTTCGTGTCTTCGGGTTCGCGGGCCCCGGGGCAGGGGGTCTCGGGTGTCGGCGGGGGG